GGGGGGGGGGGGGGGGTATGGACTGAGTCACAGGTGGGTCCCACTGGATTCATTTGCTGGTTCTAGTTTCTGCTAAATGTTTGTTTATATGATAATGTTTTGTGATGATTAAGCATGTGGGTTGGGCTTAAATATTGATTCAGCCGCTGACTGTGACTTAACCTCTTTAGGTCTCATGTGCAAAATAGTGATAGCAACAGTACCTAAATCATAGAGTTGTACTGAGGTTTAAATGGACCGAAACATATAAAGTACTTAGGATGGTGTTTGTATAACGTAGGCACACATGTTAGCTAGTATTTGCAACAATTGCCGACATTTACTGAATGCCGATGATACAATAATTCACTTACATTTATTATCTGTCATCATCACCACAATCTTCTTAGTTTTATATAATTATCTTCACTTTTTTGGGTGGTGGCTGATCAGTTAAATATCGTAACCTTGGTGTTATCAACACCGTGATCTAACCAACTAAGCTAACCAGACAGCCCCATCTTCACATTAACAATGAAAAAACCATGACCTTGGGAAGTCAAGTCACTTGCCCAATGTCATCCTGGTATTCAGTAAAGTCAGTGTCTGAGTCTAGGTCTAGCCATTTGCTTAACCACCTCTTCAGTGTTCAACTGAAGATACTTGTCAAGTCTTAAAAGGAGAGTAAATCAAATTTGGTCAGACATGAAATACTTATCAGGTCAAATATGAAAGCAAAGAAATCCCAAAGCAAACAATCAAAAGCACTGCAATATTTGGTAATCTTTTCCCTTATAAAAGAAAGTGTATTATTCTACAATGGAAATGTACCACATAACTACAGATAAGAGAAGAGCATGTAGACAATTTTTAATCTGCATGAATCCCCACCTCCACCCTTTAAAATGCTACAGCTCTTAATACTTATAGATTATTTGCTTCATGTTGACAAAATAATTTCCATGGAGGCAGCTTTTAAGATTTTAAATGTATTGAATGTTGACATTGGGAAAATAATACCTGGAAGTTTCCTTGCTTTTGTAGAATTTTCTATGCAAAGAAAGAGTAGAGTAAAACATAGACATTATTGAAGTATATGAAGCATTAATATGAAACATCTTATATAAAGCATTACTGAATGAAGAAAAGAAAGGAAGCAAGGAATGAATGAAATGAGAAGTTACCGAATGCTACCATGAGCCAGACCCTATACCAGGTCCTGTTTTAGTCATCATAGCATTCACTGTGTGAAAACTAACCAAATCAGGGCCAGAAAGGTGTGGGAAATGTATATATAGCTAACTTAATTTTCCATGGATGGATATAGTAGTTTTAATATCTTGAGTCTTGACCTGACCTTTTATCATGAATATTCCTTCAGTTTTTTGGGTTTTTTTTTTTTTTTGACACATTTTAAAAAATTAACTTTAGCTAAGTAAGGGCAAGGAAGGAGGGAGTCCTTTTAACCAAAATACTTAATTACTATCAATGCTGGAAAAATATTAATTAGCAGACATATACATGCAAATTTTCTCTGCTTTAGGATGAACTTAGCATTATCCTAAGAGATAGTGAAGTCTATTCACAACAATAATATAGAAAGCAGGAACGTATTGTACAAGACAAGATGAAAAGTATAAGCCACTTTCTTCAGTCTGATTTCTGAAGTGTGATTTCAGTATTTAAGTTAGAGGCATTGTAACTATCCAGAATATGAAATGCATTCACATTCACATGTTGATTTTAGAATACAAAACAATATTTCAAAATCAAATAGAAATGAATTTGTTCATTATCTACACTTTTGTATAATTGCCATTATTGCTCTTTCTCCTTGGGCAGATAATTGAAAAGTGACTATATAAATTGTTGTGTTTTGGGGGGGAATAGCCTAGACTCATCATTTGTCACCCACATTGTAATCTAATTTACAATTATACCAGGCTTAAAAAATATAGCTATTCTAGTACATTACTCTATTACATTTCATTAATATCATCCCTTCTTTTTAGCATGTGGCAAAAGAAATTTTGCCAGTGCTATTTATGGCTAATTAACTCATTCATTTTGTGTGTCTACTTTCAAGTATTAGCCATGGGAGAATTTTAGTGACATAATAGTATAAATAGGAGAGTGATAATATTTGGACATGAGATTTAGTCTCCCCAGTTTTTCTACATCCTTCTTTGTGGCAACAAAGGAATTTGCACTGTGGATCTCTAATGTCAGCATCTGGCAACATTTGATTCTGGTTTGTGTGTGGTCTATTTGAGATAAAGGGTTTGAATAAAAATCAATAGAACAGGACAGAAAGCGCAGCTGAGTTGCCTATCTATTAACTTATCAAGGTAAATTCTGTGATTCATTAGGAAACCAGGTGGAGGCAATAGTTGATCTAATTACTTAATGAATTTAGGGGAGAGAACAGAGGATTTTCACTCTCTAATTTTCAATGAAAATAAATTTAACTTTCCATTTCTCTTTGTGGTAGGTAGGTCCCTGGGAAATAGACTTTGAGACTCTGACATTCCCATGCAGGAATTTTACTGGGACACGTTCTCAGGAACAACACCCATTCCTGGGGTGAGGGGAGAAGGGCGAAGGCAAAGGGGGAGGTTGAACTTCAATGCAGTCACAGCTGACCCCTCCAGAGATCTCTGGAGCTGGGGTGGCCCTGTGGAGACCAGTGTGAGCTGGAGGCAGCTGGCACATGCTTGGGCACAGCCAATGGTGCACATCACTTCCCAACTTCATGTTCAGTGACACCATGTTGATTCCCTGAAATTGGCAGCACATGTCTGGGGTATTGACAACATGGTAATAGGCAAATGCTAGAAATCAAGGCTTCTCTCACTTCCTTATCCCAAGTCTTCAACCCTGCAAAGCTAGTTTACCAGCAAACCCCCAGTTAAGAAAGATTGCTTTCACATCTCTGTGCCCAAATCCACGTGACAAGTTCTTAATTGCACACAGGGCTACATGGAGG